CCACCACCATGCCTTGCTAGTTTTTTGTATTTTTAGTAGAGATAGGGTTTCACCATGTTGGTCAGCCTGGTCTCAAACTTCTGATCTCAGGTGATCCACCCGCCTCGGCCTCCCAAAGGGCTGAGATTACAGGTCCTTTTCTTTTCTTTTTTTGAGACAGAGTCTCGCTCTGTTGCCCAGGCTGGAGGGCAGTGGTGAGATCTCAGCTCACTATAACCTCTGCCTCCCGAGTTCAAGCGCTCCTGCCTCAGCCTCCTAAGTAGCTGGGATCAAAGGCACCCACTACCACACCCGGCTAATTTGTGTACTTTTAGTAGGGATGGGGTTTCAGAAGCACGTAGGCCAGGCTGGTCTCGAATTCCTGACCTCAAGGGATCTGCCTGCCTCAGCCTTTCAAAGTGCTGGGATTATAGGCGTGAGCCACCGCACCTGGCCATGTGCATTACTTTTAACTACACTACACAGTGTATTCAGATTTTACTAGTTCTTCCCTAACGTCTCTTTTCTGTACAAAGATCCCATCTTACATTTAGTCTCCTTACATTTAGTCTCCTTCATCTACTCTGGACAGTTTTTTAGACTTCCCTTGTTTTAGGACCTTCCTGGCAGTTTTGAGGAGGGCTGGTCAGGTATTTTGTGCCTCAGTTCGGGTCTGTCTGATGCATTTCTCCTGTAGTTTTCTTATTTCTAGTTTTGTGAGTGCGATCTTTCCTGCGCAGCATGTTTCCCTATGTGGTTTGCTTCTATTTTATTTTCTATTTGAGTGTAAGTGTAACTGTACTTGAGTCCCCTTCCTTGCCCCAGGCATCTGCTGTGGCTGGTCAGGGGAAGAGTTAGGGCTTTGTGTAGGTGAGGACTTTGTGTTTGTTCCTGCTAGAGCCTAAAAGATTTCTGTTATCCTAGGCCAGTATGTATGTTCTTTATTTGAGGTTTCTGGTACAAGACAGAGTGCAAAGGTTTGTACCGTACACCCTTGCGTGATGCAGTTCTAGGGTTTTCCTATCCTGCACATCGCTTGCTATGCCTTATACCCTGTCTCTCTGTCCAAGATCCTGGAGAGAGGACAAGCTGCACATGCAAGTTCCTGGACCAGTGGGTGGAGTTTTATAGCCCCTTTTACAGAAAGCAATACCTGTAAGTCCCGGCCTTTAGGCTTGGCTGTTTCAGTTCCATGACATCCAAGGGCAAGGCCACGGCTCCATCTGCTCCATGGGCATGAGGTCTAACCCTCAGTCCTTTGAACCTCTATAAGGATCTGAAACCACCTTCCATGGTGCCTTTGATTTTTCCCTTTATTTCTAGCATCTGGCATTTCTTTCTCCTTAGTTCTTGGCTGTGTAGTAAAAACCATGTTTACTTGTGTGTGTGTTTGCGGTGGGACATCCACGTCAGCTGAGCTCACCATGTTACTGGAAGTACTAGTGACAAATGTTCAGCTTTTTGGAAGATTTCTGTCATACGAATTGTGTTTTCTGCAGTGACTAGCATAATGTGGGACACATACCAGTACTCACTAAAGAACGGATGCATGAATGAATGAGCGGAGACCAGGAGTGCTCAGAAGATAGCTAAGCATTTGCAGCCTCAGTGGAGGCTGAACTGGCTGAGTCTGGGAGATTCTGGGCAGGCAGGGGCTGGTACACAGTCCCTCTGCCTGGCACTCTGTGTCACAGTGGTCCTGGCCTCATGTGGCTTTATTCAGTGCTGAGGACTACATGATTTCACCAATGGCTCATCCAACAGGGTGGTCTGTTCACTCTACTTTCATCGTCTTACAGTGTCAGTACCTTTTCTTTTCCTTCTTGAAAGAGGGAACTGGCCGGGCGCAGTGGCTCATGCCTGTAATTCCAGCACTTTGCTGAGGCAGGCAGATCACGAAGTTAGGAGATCGAGACCATCCTGGCTAACACAGTGAAACCCCATCTCTACTAAAAATGCAAAAAAATTAGCTGGGCATGATGGCGGGCACCTGTAGTCCCAGCTACTCGGGAGGCTGAGGCAGGAGAATGGCGTGAACCTGGGAGGCGGAGCTTGCAGTGAGCTGAGATCGGGCCACTGCACTCCAGCCTGGGCGACAGAGTGAGACTCCGTCTCAAAAAAAAAAAAAAAAAAATATGGAACCGAGAGTGTGGGTGGATTTAGTGCAATCGATCAAGCCAAAGTCTCATCCTGGATTGCAGGTGGTAATCTAAGGCAAGATACTGCCTTGGTGTATGAACACCATAGCAGCCTGTTTCTGCAGGGCTGGCTTCTCTGGACTCTACACACAAGCACAGACGCTGGTTTGAAAGCCCCAGCATTATGAGACAACTGGAAGCTGCAGCCCTTGACGTCCTTGTGTCAACAGGCACAACACTGGCCCCAACCTGTTATTCGTTGAGCAATTCTACAGCCTTGCAGGGAGGCAGGCTCTGCCTGTCCAGGCTATACTTCAGCACGCACCTTTCCTTCGTGGCTACTCAAGTGGAAAGTCCTTACTCTCCACTACACTCTAGTCCCTATCCTCCTATGAAATCCTATGTGTAGTGTGAACTAAAGGCAGAGAAAGCTAACAAGCCTTGGCCTGGGGGCTGTTCTACATCTTGCCACCCAAGAAGAAGAGGGCAGACATTTAGGAAGGAGGGAATCACAAACTCGACATGTTTTTCAAAGTGGGGAGAATGGGCTGAAGGGTCTGCTTGAGGGAATGTTCTTCCCCCACTGCTTCTCTCCAGCCTGCATTGCAGGGCCCCCCGCCCTCATTACTCTGTGGACACAGTGGCGATGACAGCAGAGCTCCGTCATTACTGCCCCGCAGGCTGTGACGATAACGGGTCAGGAGTGGGGGCATATGGACCCTCCAGTGATGCTTGTAGAGCAGAGGGTCTCGTGAGGCTGAAGACACTGAGGCCTGCTGCACTGACTCCACCCCAGTTAGAGGATCCGGTTGAGGGCTTTTATAACTCAGAGAGAATCTGTTCGGTCCAGGGAAGGGAGGAGCTGAGTTGGAAATATTTTTGCTCCACTTTCTTCCGAAATACTTACAAAGATTGGCAGAAAGTGCAGGTGATAGAACAGAGGAACATTGGAGTTGACATGATGATGTCGCGGGGGACGTGGTGCCACCAGACAGAGAGCCTGGCCTGTGAGTTTCATGCCTGGGGCACAGCTGTCACTTGCTGGGCACAGATCTTCTGCAGCCTGTGTGGTTTCCTGTGCTCCGGGAGGACCTGGCCTTTGAATGTTTATAAGGTCAGACCCTCTGGGCTCTTCGGCCCCGTGGATATTGCTTGACACTGAAGTCTCTTGTGGTCTAGTGGAGTCAGGATCAAAACTGCTGTGCCAGGGGCAGAAGGGCTACATGCCCCCACCCCAGGCCCCGTGCTTAGAAGAGCAGTCTGCAGGATGTGACGAGTCATCATTAGCCCTTGTTTTGGGTGACATTTCTTCCATTCTAAAGGCTCTGCCCTCGTCTACCATCTCATGTGATTTTCACCATGGGCATTATTTTAATGAATGACTTGGGAGTCTGAGAGGCAGGAATATGAAGTTGAGAACACGAAAAGTTTTGCCCTAGAACATTCCAGTCCATGCACATATTTGAGGCTTCATGGAGCAGCCATGCCTCTTAACATACAGCCTTAGAATTCAGTGACCAGCAATGACTACATGTAACACACAGCGGCTCCACTTCAGTTGGGGAAACAGATGCAAGGAAGTGGCCTGAACATAGTCCTCAGGGTGCATAAACAGGCCCCACGCAGGCTTGGTAACCGGGGAAGGATGGAAAAGGGGTTATGTGAGAAATTCGTTTTTGACAGTCACGATCAACGGGTGCAGGAGGGAGTGCTATTTCCTGGGGGGAGTCAGGGAGAATATTTTGGGACTGCATCAGTCTGAAGACAGTGAAGGAGCTACAGGAGTGATAAACCAGTCGCCCCTGAGTCACTGCACTGAGTTATGTTTTAAAATAATTGTGAATTCAACTACCTTTAGATAGTGCGCATGCTGTTTAAAGTTTGCCTCAGTCCTCATGGTTCCCAACTGTCTTCAGCTGACTGTCTCCACCCATTTTGATGATCTTTTATTCCCCTGAAGCCACTTGAGTTTGCTGCCTTCAGATAGAAGGTTCCATCCTGCAGAGTGTGGCATTTATGGCTTTGTGGGTCTGGGTGAACCACGGAGACCTCACCTGCACCATGTCTAGAGAACGGCGTGTGATCCCAAGGCTGTGACCTTACCCACGCCCTGTTTATTTCCAGGCAGGTAGAACAGCAAAGAATGTACAAGGCCCGGTGCTTGAGTATGGAAGGTGAGGGAAAATGAGACATTGAGAGTGACGGCAGGGTTGGCTCGGTCAGTTGGGTACAGCAGTGACAGGGAATCCTGGAGGAAGGGCAGGTTCTACATGACAACAGATGGAGAAATACAAGAACACGTATTCAGGACAAAAGACTCGGCTGGAGCTCGACTTGGGTATCACCAGCAAACACATGGAAAATAAAGTCACAAGAATGGAGAAGGTTGTCCAGGGATGGCGCGTTCAGTGAAAAGGAAGGATGTTCTAGATACAGGTCCCCGGGAACATCACCTCTTAAGAACAGGCCATAGGATGAGAAGCCCGCCATCAAAGGGACTTTCCAGGAGCAGGTGGAAAGAGAGAGGGAAACCAGGAGAGCCCAGGGTCGAGAAAGACAAAGGGAGGGCTTCGAAAAGGAAAGGCCTGAAGCGTGTCAGTGGCTGCCTTTGTTTTTTGTCATCAGTCTTCACACCTTTGAAGTGCTTAGAGTACAGCTTGCGATTCTGTCCATGTTTTGTTTTCAAAATGATCATCACCCACTTAATAGCTCATTTGAAAGACTCCTCTCTCAGGGATGGCCTTCACCGGACCCCATGCGGCCTCCATCAGTGGGGCTGGGGTGCTGAATGATAATGCATAGACAGCCCACCCAGGTGACACGCACACCCGGAGCACCCCTGGGTGCAGAACCATGCTCTGGGGTACCAGGGTGCTGGCTTACCTGGCACTCTCAAAGGTAGCAGATGCCGTCTTTTCTATAGCCCCGAATCCAACTCCAACAGCGAGACCCTCTGAAATAGACGTAAGAAAAACAAGAGGGGTTAGGAATATTTCCCAATAAGGAACATCACCATCACTGTCACCGTGTCTAGTAGGACTGCATGAGGCTGCCAGTCACAGGAAATCATACTAACAGCAGCTTAAACCCAGGGAAACTAAGGCATGGGGTCCAAATGGCTGCTGCCTGCAACCTAGGAATGATTTTTGTATTTTTTAAGTAATTGAAAAAACAAAGACTACTTCATGACACATGAAAATTATATAAAATTTGGCCAGGCACGGTGGCTCATGCCTGTAATGCCACCACTCTGGGAGGCCGAGGCAGGCAGATCACCTGAGGTCAGGAGTTCGAGACCAACCTGGTCAACATGGTGAAATCCCATCTCTACTAAAAATACGAAAGTTAGCAGGGCATGGTGATGCACGCCTGTAATCTCAGCTACTCGAGAGGCTGAGGCAGGAGAATCACTTGAACACAGGAGGCAGAGGTTGCAGGAAGCCAAGAGTGTGCCGCTGCACTCCAGTCTGGGTAACAAAGTGAGACTCCGTCTCAAAAAAAAAAAGAAAAAGAAAAAGAAAAAAGAAAATTGTATAAAATTCAAATTTGAGTGTCTGTAAATGAAGTTGTATTGGCACACAGCCATGCTTATTGGCTGACGAATTGTTTATGGCTGGTTTCATGTACATTAGCACAGTGGAGTAGTTGGGACAGAAACCATATGGCCTGAAACCCAAAATATTTACTATCTGGACTTTTCATAACCCCTGGCCTAAACACACAGGGCTTTATTTATTAGCTCATGCAACAGAAAGTCCAAGGTTGATACGGCAGCCCGATGATGTCACTGTAGACACAGGCGTCTTTTGTTTTCGTTTTTTTTTTTTCTTCATCCTCACCATTAGGTCCTCATAGTTGCAAAGTGACTGTGCTACCTCCAAGCATCTCAACTACATCCTAGGCAAGAAGAAAGTAGAAAGGTAGAAACCTTTCTTTATCAAGTCTTTGTCTCATTACTCTGGAATGAACGCCTTTCCCGGCATCCCTCATACCTCTGGCCAGAATAGGAGCAAACGCCCATCCCTGGTTCCATCACAGCCTCAGGCCCCAAATCCTGAGACTCTGGAACTGATTGAGGCCAGTCTCCATCCCTCTCTGGGGCTGGGAAAGAGCCTACCCTGCCCATGCTCCCTGAAATCAAGGGAGCCGCCATCCGAATAAACTGGGGTCTTGTCAGCAGGAAAGGAGGAGGGGTGGCACGATCACCACCACCAGTGTGCATTTTTATTTTTATTTATTTTTATTTTTTATTGAGATAGAGTCTTGCTCTGTCGCCCAGGCTGGAGTGCGGTGGCGCCATCTCAGCTCACTACAAGCTCCGCCTCCCGGGTTCATGTCATTCTCCTGCCTCAGCCTCCTGAGTAGCTGGAACTACAGGTGCCCGCCACCATGCCCAGCTAATGTTTTGTATTTTCAGTAGAGACAGGCTTTCACCATGTTAGCCAGGATGGTCTCGATCTCCCGACCTTGTGTTCTGCTTGCCTCGGCCTCCCAAAGTGCTGGGATTACAGGCATGAGCCACCGCGCCCAGCCAAGCATACATTTTTATATGACTGCTCTTTGAAGAACATTCCAGCTTTCAAAGGAACCACCCTCAAATGGTGCAGACAGATGCGGTCTACACTGAGGGGGTGGCTAG